GAGGCTAACTAAAAGTGTTTTAAAGAACCAGTGAACACCATGGTCTCACACTGCATCAGGGGCATCTGATCAGATTAAGAAAATGTGTAATCATGGGGTCCTACTGGAATCAGCATTGTCACTGAGTAATAAAGTACCAGATGCTGTCACAGGCATCATTTCCAACTAAATGACAACTACAATCATTCTGCTCATACAACAGCTCTACCACAGTATTTCGTGCACCTGTCACCTCAAGGCTAGACTACTGTGGCTCAACCAGAAGCTTCATAAAATGTTCAAAAAGAAGCTTTAACTGTGTAGTCTCCTAAGCAAGATGAGCCAAATGCAGCATATCACTTCTGTTCTCAGCAACACACATCTGCTCCCCCATTCACTACCAGACCCACTTAAAGTTTCTTGTACTGAAGCCGTTAAAAGACATCTACCTTAACAGCTGCAATCATTCAGTATAGTCTAATTAACATAATTAGGTATAAACTCCAGGAGACAGAGGTAAAGCTCTTTCAACAAGACAAGAGGTTCAAAACTCTGGAACAACTGTCCAATGGAGATCAGAGTCCTAACCTCAGGTTATACTGTAAGATTCAACTCTTTTTCCCAAAGAACCACAGCAGAAGATAGCCTGGAAGCATGCTCAAGAGGAGGGAAGATAACTGTCTGCCCTTCTGGACAGTTCTGACTTTTTTTATATATAGTTCTCTGGCCAAATGTTGAGGAACTAACTGGAAGATAAAGAGCTCTTGAAAATGAGCTGACCTCCTCTGGTTTACCAGATTTTTGCTTCTTTAAACTTCACAGATGCAACCATTCTGCAAATGGGCATTATGTCAGCTCTAGAAATGACAAACTGTCTAATGCCACTAGAAATGGTGTCTGTTTTGAAAACACTGAGGAAAACTGACTCCAAAGATCATCCTCACAAAGGCCTGTGATTTTGTTTGCTTTAACTTAAAAACAACTTGAAAATTTAGGTGAAGGAAGATAAATGTGTAGGCACTCCCACATGGCCAGGGTTTTTATTTTATTAAAAGATACTTGATACTTCTTCAGTTCATGCATGATCCCTTCACTGTTGTTTGTTATTTGATTGTCTGCTTTTGAGGTTGTAAGGTTGAGCCATTTGCCTCTTCATTCTAATCAATAAAAAAAGTTAGCAAGCCAATATCAAGAAGGCCTGTTAGCAAGGGAAGAAGCCTGAGAATCTGAAATTTCAGCTGTGGTCCAATAGGAAGTAGTTTTCCTCTGCTTACTGGCTATATCAGGATGCCTATGATACTCTCAGAACATGTTCAGTGTATATTGTGTTAGTTCTCCTCCCCAGATACACTTAGGAAAACATATCCCATACATGACAACTGGACTGTAAGGACTCAGACACTGTGTGCTGGTAGCAGAGAATGCATAATCAGATATTTCATGGCTATATTCCCCCAACTAACCAGGATTAGCCTACCCAGCAGTGGAACACACTAGGGCTACAAAACTCTTGTGGGCCAGCAGCTAAAGATGTTATTTTTTACAGGATTAACTCCTTAAAATTGAAACCAATTCCATGATTATTATTAAATCAAAATCACTGTATGTAGGCTTATTGCTGTACGTCAAAATACTACCTTAAGCCTTCTAAGGGTACATCTCATTCCAATTAGACACCTACGGCTAGCCTGTGCCAGCTGACTCAGGCTTGACCTAAGGGGCTGTTTCATTCTGGCGTGGGCTGCAGCCTGATCTTTGGGACCCTCACTGGGTCCTAGAACCTGGGCTCCAGCCTGAGCCCAAACGTTTACACCACAATTAAATATGACCTTACAGCAAAGGTCTCTGACTTTACATGCAAAAAGTGTTTATGAAGAGAAAAGAAAAATAACATCTGACAGCAATGATAGCGGAGTGTATTCTCCAGTAGGTTCTACCATGCTATTAAGATGTCAGACTGCCAACCCAGGGAGGGAACAGTTGTCACCCTTCTTGAAGTTGGGTGCTAGCTAAATTGAGGAGGCAAACGTGCCACTGACAGCATAGCCAGTGGGTGGCTGAAGAAATGGCTAAAACAACACAAATAAATGGGCCCCGGTTCCTTGCGCATCCCTCGATCTGTTCTACAGCAGTGGCGTGGAGTTTGATTGACAAGAAGCTGCTAAGAACCTCAGAGGCCAGAAAAAGGATTGCCCTCTCAGTGTGTATCTACAACTGTAGGACACTGATGAGGGACGACTTGATCAATCATTTAATGGAGGAGAAGGCAAGGCCAGCCTGCGACATCCTTGGTCTCTACGAAACAGGATGAAGAAAGGAGATGGAAGCCAAGTAGAGAAATGGAAGCACCATCATGTTAGGAAAAGGAGAAGGTGTGAGAACTGTTGGAGGAATCGGTTTTATCGTCAACAAGGAACGGTCTTCAAAAATCATCTCCTGCAAGTTAAAGTCATCACACATCAAAGTGCTACACCTCCAACTGAACAAGAACAGCACCCTCAAGATTATCCAGATCTATGGTCCCACAAGCACAAGTGAAGATGATGACATGGAAAAATTCTATCAGGAGCTTGAGGAAACCCTCGCTCAAAAATCCACATATATGATTGTGAAGGGAGATGTCAATGCCAAGGTCAGAAGAGGGAAAGAAGGTGAAAAGTTCATTGGAAGGTATGACATCAGCAAACAGACTTCACGGGGAGAGCAACTGGCAACTCTGGTGGAGACTAAATAAATGTTCATTGGTAACACTGGTTCAAGAAGAAGGAGAAGAGGAGGTGGATCACGCCCAATGCAAAGAACAAGAATGAGATTGACTATATTCTGATCGATAAGCGGCACATCATACAAAACATCTCAGTAGTGCAATCATTCAACACCGGCACTGATCATCACTTGCTTAGAGCGAGGCTCAACTTCAACGAAAAGATGGAGAAGAAAGCGCTACTTATGGCAAATCAGAGACAGCGGCCGAAAATATTCTACGAGGCAATCCTGAAAGCGAACATTTCCAAGGAAGACTGGAGTCTCATTGATCACTGTGATGAGGACTATAAAAACTTTGCTGATAAACTGAGGCAATGCATGAAATTAGCCAAGAAAGAAAGACCAAAAAATGCGAAGGTAAGAATCTTGGAGGAAATGAGGAACTTGCTAGAGAAAAAGAGAAATATGAAGAAAAACGATGGCAACAAACTCGAGTACACCCTCCTCTGCAAGCTGATAAGAAGAAGACTAAAGGGGAACTTTGAGAAGTACCAAAATGAAAGGCTCTTAAAGATGGCTAAAGATCGCAGAAGCTTCAAAGAATTCAAACGGGAATTGACACTGTACAGGTTGACAATAATGGCGCTGAAGAACAAGGATGGAAAAGCAGTAATTGACAGAACAGGGATGGAAGAAGTCTGCAAAGATTTCTGCACCGAACTGTTCAGATCTCAAATAAATGTCCCACTACCAACACTTCAACGGACCAATGAGCACATACTCCCGGTCCTCATCAACAAAGTTTGACATGCAGTTTATCAAATGAAGGAAGGAGAAACTCCAGGAAAAGATGGAGTGACGACTGAAATAATAAGAACTGGAGGCCAAGACCTCTGGGAAATTCTTGCTAAGAGGTTTATCTGTTATTTGGAAATGCTTAGCTGGAAAAAGCCCAACACCATTTTGCTGTATAAGAAGGGTGATCGTGAAGACCTAAAGAACTACTGTCCAATATGCCTGCTTTCACATGTTTATAAGCTGTTCACCAAACTAATAACAAACCGACTCTCACAAAGTCTGGACAAGCAGCAGTTAAGAAAGCAGGCAGGTTTTTGAAGGAATTTCAGCACTATGGCCCATATCTTCACTATAAACCAGCTATTGGAGCGCTCAAGGCAATACAAATTCCCTTTATGCATTGCCTTAGTCGACTATGAAAAAGCATTCGACAGCGTAGAGATGAATGCAGCGCTGAAAGTTCTTGCAGAGCAGGGCATCGACACAAACTATATCAAACTATTAAAGGAAGCAAACTCTGACTGCACTATGGATATAACTCTGTTTGACATTCCCCTTCACACCCCAATCAAAAAAGGTATGAAGCAAGGAGACACAGTTTCACCGAAACTTTTCACAGCCTGCCTCAAAATGGTAATGAGGTGGATGAAATGGAAGGGTGGAATTAGCGTCAATGAAGAGCAGTTAAACCACCTCAGATTCGTGGACGATATCATGCTGATTGCTGAAAACACTATCAAACTACAGAAAATGCTGCGAGAACTTGACACAAAAAGCAGCCAAGTTGGACTAAAAATGAACTGCTCTAAAACGAAATTTATACGGCCTGATGCCTTGCCAAAAGCCCAAATAATAGTTAAGGGAGAACAAATTGAAGAAGTCAAGCAATACATTTATCTGGGCCAAGAAATTAACATGCACCACAATCAGGAAGGTGAACTCTCACAAAGAAAGAAAGCTGGTTGGCATGCATTCAATTCTATCAAGGATGTCCTCCAAGAAAAAATCAACATGGCAACACAAGCCAACCTCTTCAACTCAACAGTACTGCCAGCAATATTGTACAGCAGCAAAACATGGGTGCTGATAAAGGTAGAGGAGCAACAACTGACTGTCACGGAGAGGGCAATGGAAAGAAGAATTTTGGGGATTTAAATGCGCAACCGAGTCCCCAATGAAGTGATCAGACAGCAGAGTGGAGTGCAGGACATCGGTGTTGAAAGCAGGTACAGTAAAATGCGATGAGCCGGGCATATAGCTAGGCTCACTGTCAGTCGATGGACTGCAGCTAATTTATGGACAGCCTCTTATTAACTGAAAGCAAAGAACGGAGCTCAATGCAGGAACAAGAGTCTGATTGCAGAACTGGGGCCACAGTTAGTAACAAAGAAAGATTTTTTTTTAAACTTGACAGTATCTCTTTAAACATACCCCTGTAGACAGAACATTTATATAAAAAAAATAAGTTCTGAGGAGAAACATTTAAAGTGGTTTTCTCTTATCACCATAAGCCTCACCTTTGACAGAAGATTGTTCGGACTGATACTGTAGCCTTTAAGGCTCTCATGTAACTTCTGTAAGCATTGTACGACTCTTCGTTGTTGTTCATCATTCTGCAGCTCTTCTGCTTTGATCAGAAAGTCATAGTGTTCTAAAGGTCCACTGCAAACCAACAAGGCCCTAGAGTTAGCATCTGCTAGAGTATTAGCGGCTATGTTCTCAGCTGCCTGAATTGTGTATGCTGTAAAATAAGAAATAATTAACTGTTAATATAAAGGTTCTGAAAGTTGTCTTATTATATTCTTAAACAATATACACAAATTAGTTTGTTTAAAAATGGCTATCTACTACTTTAAATAAGTAGTAACAGAACAGTATAGATTAGCTAAATATGCACCAATATATTATATGTGATCTCTTTGTATTTCTCTAAATAAGCTTTTTAAAATGTAGTTCAAAACTGGAAGTTGCTTAGTAAAATAATTAATTAATTGAATACACAAAATTAAAAAAAACCAACAATTAGAGCTGGTCAAAACTTGCAATTTCCATTCCGCAGGAAATTCTATCATTTAGAAATCTGGCTTTGTTCCAAATTGGAACAAAACCAAAAATTTTCAAAACTTCCCACAAAATGATTTATTTTTAAAAAATTATTCAATTAAATTGAAACATTTCATTCTGATTGACTTTTTTAATTTTATATTTAAACTAAAAATCAAAATGATATGATCCAATAAGATAGAAATGTTGAAACCAAATGTTTTGACCTTATCAAAATACTTTTTTCAAACCAAAATTTTGTTGAACAACATATTTCTGTGGCAAGTTTTGATTTTGCTGAAACATTTTCTGACAGAAAACAGCATTGTGTCAGAAAAATTTTGACAAAACACTGACAACTAGACAGTTCTCTATATCAGGGCAATCCTCAGTCAGTCTGGATGGTCCACTAGAAATCACCATCACTGGAGGCAAACCCCAACTATTCCTAGATTGGACCTGTGAGTTTGGATCCTGTGAAGTTTCTTCAGAGCTGTCTTCCCTCTACACTATGTGGGGGGGGAGTCAGTGCTATGGGATTTTTGATTCAAAGGGAAGCCAGTGCCCCCATCAAACCCACAGAGCCCCAGTTCCTATTGGATACCCCAAGATTATAGAACAAGAAGCAGCATGAAACCTAAATTTATGGAAGGGAAAGTAATCTGGTGCTGTACTGTTCCTGAACACAGAGCTGAAGGCATCTGTAGTAGAGTTCTCCCTTAGTAGACCACAACAGGCTCTCCTTAAAGATGGGGCATCTTTGTGCCTTGGACTTCACCTGTTCTGTCTTGCCAAACAGCAGCAGAAGCGGAAAGTGATAAACCCCCAGGCAGTCTCTTGGGATGGAAAGGAAAAGGCTTCCTCATTTACAGACATGGGAAATAGAGAGCATGTGTAAGTGCCGACAGAGGGTTCTGTGGGAGAAACTGCTCACGGCTGTCCCAAAATGAACATTCAAAGCCGAGGTTTATGAAAGAGGAGCACTAACAGACTTCTCACTCATGCAGTATAAGACTCTGCATTTTGCAGGACTGATCCATATATCATTAGCACTGCCTCTCTACTGTTATCTGTTCTTGAACAGATCCAGAGAAGGGGATTCTTCATTATTATGAGCAACATATAGCAAATATACACCAGAATATTCTTCCTACCTTATTCTTATGCTTCTTACTACTTCTTATTCTATCATTTTGTGCTAATGTCAACAATGCTTTCTTCATTTATGGTATATATCACTTCCCTTTTATTTTCCAGAATGTAGAAATTGGGCTCTGTCCATTTCGCTTCCTGTCTCACCCTCTAATGCTTGTATTATATATCACAGTTCTCTGTGTGTTTTCTCTATTTCCCTCCACACTCAAAAGTATCCTCTTAAACTGTGAGGATTACATGTAATATTTCTTATATGGTCATAGCAGAGTGCAAAACCATATCATATTCCCCTAATTTTACATAAAATCTGTGTATTTATACAAAAACAGAATTAGCTTTTTTCACAAGAGTGCTACATTCCAAGCTTGTTTGTTTTGTTATACACTGTCACTCTCTGTTCTTACAGCTCTCTAGAAAGCAGTGAATTTATCAGTATTTTTATTTCTGTTCCTAAAATATATGTATTCACATTTAATCTCATTTTATTGCATGCAGCCAATTTTGCTGCCCTGCTGGCTGTCTACTACTCAAATATTACTGATCAACATGCCAGAAGATATTGATAATGAAATAAAGTGAAAGAAACCTCTTACTAACAGAGAATAAAAAACAAAACCTGAAGCAAACAAGAATACATAAATTTAGGGCTTGAAAAATCCATTTACAAGTACAAAAATTTTCCTGGCAAGCGAGGAACCTAAGAGCAACTTCTGCATCTAATCTTTTGTGATGAAGTTCCTCCTCTGCCTTGGTGGGTTCTGCGCTTTCTGGCGGATTTGCTTGCCTCACCAGCTCTTTGGCTATCGTTTTAGAGGCTGTGTTCCGCAGTGGGACGCCTTCTTGATAACGCGTAGCATAGTCCAAAACAACAGGTATATATTGGTGGCCCCGAGCCATCTTCTCCAGGGGTCCCACTAGGTCCATGGCTATTTGCTCGAAGGGGACCTCTATGATGGGAAGGGGTACTAAAGGTGCCCTCAAGTGGGGACGGGGACTGTGCAGCTGACACCCTGGGCAGGACACACAGTACCTCCACACTTCTTCATGTACTCCGGGCCAGAAGAACTGTCGTAGGCAAGACTTAATACAGCATTCTGGTGTTTTTGAGGTACTAGGATCTGCTGTACCTTCTGCCCCGTACTGGTGCAATCCGGTACAAGAGATCCTGCTTCATTATGAAGTAGGATCCTGGTCCCTGGGTTTTCCCTTCCACAGGGACCCTGTCTATTTCGGTCACCTCCTTCCTAATGTACCTTGGATCTCCAGCCTGGTCCCATCCAAAATTTTCTCTCCTGGGGCTAATCTGCCCGAGATCTAGGGGGTCAGTCTCTGTCGCCTCTCCTGGTTCAGAGGCATTAGGATGGGGATCAGACTCGGGTGCTTCTCCCTCCTGGGTGGCCTCCTTTTCAGCTGCTCGGGTTCTCCTACCTACGAGAGCTACCCTCTGGCTTTGGGTCAGTATTCGGGTTCCCAAGGCCTTAGCTGCCCTTCTTTCCCTTTTCATCTTTCTACCCTGCCTGGGAGTGGAGAACAAATCTGGGGATATTTCAGAGAAGATTGGGGGTTGACAGTCTACTGTGGATGTCTCGCTAACTTCAGGGTTTCTCCTTTTCTCCAATCCCCCTACCGGGAGTAAGTTTCCAAACCCTGGAAAGTCCCTCCCCATGAGCACCAGGTATGGGAGCTTAGGGACTACACCTGCTGCTACCGCAGTAGTGTTCCCCTGGATTTCAATTTTTACCGGGATGGTGGGGTAATAATTAACTGTCCCATGGACGCATGTCACCCCCGTGCGCTTTGCCTGCAGCAGCTGACTACGCTTCACAAGCTTCCCTGAAATAAGCATGGTAGCACTCCCCGAATCAACCAGTGCCGTGGTTTCTGCCCCATTTAGTTTTACTGGTCTGGTGTACATATGGGGGGTTAGTGCAACACTCACCAGGTGAATTAGGGAGCATGTGTCTGCCCAGTTCCCCAGGTTATACTGCATAGGCTCCTCAGCATTGGGACACTGTGCAGCTGTGTGTCCCCACTCCACGCAGGCGTAACATCTGTATGGGGCCCTACGTATTCCCCGGTCTCTCGGTTTGAGCAGTCTAATGACACTATCCTCTTCCCTCTCAGTGCTCCAACTATTTGTGGCCTCCAATAGGCCTTCAAACTCTCTCTTTTTCCACCTAGGCCCTACTAGGGGCCCAGTCGCCTGAGCTCTGGGGCTTGGTGCTGCTAGTTTAACCAGGGTGCCTCTTCCTTAAGTGGTCGGGTCAGTTCCTTCACTTCTCTACCAATGCGACAACCTCGTTGTCGGTGGAGGGCTCGTTCTGGCTTACCCAGGCACAAAGGTCTGGCGGTAGTCCCCTCATGTATCGGTCGATGAACAGAACCTCTAGTATCTCTTCCGGACTCCGGGACTCAGTTCTTAACCACTTTCGTGTGAGATGGATGAGATCATATAATTGGGTCCGTGGGGTTTTGTTTTCCTGGTACCTCCACTCATGATATCGCTGGGCCCGCACTGTGGTCGTTACCCCAGATCTGGCCAGGATCTCTGCTTTCAGCTGGGGGTAATCTGCCGCAGCCTCTTCAGACAGGTCATAGTAGGCCTTCTGGGCCTCCCCACACAGGAATGGGGTGAGGATGCCAGACCACTGTTCTTGGGGCCAAGCCTCCCGCAGGGCTGTCCTCTCAAAGACCAGGAGGTACGCCTCTACCTCATCCTCCCGCATCATTTCTGCAGCCAATTGCTGGCCCATATGATCTGCATCCCATCATGGACCCGATTTAGCTCTGTAAGGGTCTTTACATGGTTTACCAGTTCCCGCAACATAGCACCGTCTTGAAGAGCCTGGTCCATCAGGAAGCGATTAGTCTCTTGCTGCAGCCGCACTGCCTCCTGTTGGGCGGCTGCCTGGACACGGGTAGCCTCCTGCTGGGCAGCCGTGGCTTGTATCGGTGCCCGCACTACGTCATCCATTGTGGTGGGGGAAAAAAATAAGCCCTCTCCCTTTTTTAATTTTTTAAAATATCACCCTCACTTCTTCTGCCGCGCTGTGTACACCAAATCCCACCCCTTACACCTTTTGTGATTAAGTTCCTCCTCTGCCTTGGTGGGTTCTACGCTTTCTGGTGGATTTGCTCACCTCAGGGTTCACGGTAGTCCTCAGTTTGGTTCCTTTTGTTAGTGGCACAAACCTGCCATTCACTTGGCTAACCATCACTGGCCAGCATTGGGAAAAGGAGGAGAACAATCCCCGCAGTCTCTGCTGGCCCACCTAATGGGTCGGGGGACAGGCCAGAGACCTTCCCCTCTGGTGGGACCCACAGTCCAGATCAACTCCTCTTATATCAAATAGAGAGTTAAGGGGATGGGTGGAACCCGGGCCCGCCCTCTACTCCAGGTTCCAGCCCAGGGCCCTGTGGATTGCAGCTGTCTATACAGGGCTGGTGCAAGGAAGTTTCGCGCCCTAGGCGAAACTTCCACCTTGCGCCTCCCCCCCAGCCCTGTGGCAGCTCCCCGCCCCCCCCCCTCCGCGGCAGTTCCCC